AAAATATATCAAGCAAATCTTCAAGTGAAGTCCTCCAAGCATTTTTCCATGAGTCTTTGGTATGTGGCTGGAGCGTTAGATAATCCAAAAGGTATCTCTGTTATATCTATAAAACCCTAAGGGGCCTACTGTAAAGCTGTTCTCTTTATGTTCTTCGCCATCTCAACCTGATGATATCCGCTTTTCATGTCGTAAGAACAGAGAAGGGCTTCATCCCTCCCAGACAATCAAGAAGTTCTTCAATTCATATGGAAGGGCGTAACTGTTCCATTAATGGTGCGACGGTTCAGCGCGCGAAAATCTATACATAGTCTCAATCGTCCATCCTTGCGCTTAGCCCAAAACAACATTAGAGGCCCACGGACTATGTGAAGGTCTCGATCACGCCAGCAGCCAGAAGATCTTGAAGATGACTCTTTACTTCACTGTACATGCCGGGCGGAATTCGACGGTGTCTCTGTTTAAATGGAATGTCATTTTGTAATTCTATCCTGTGTTCAACCATAGTTGAATGTCCTAAATCATCATCCCGTTTTGAGAAAATATCTTTAAACTTCATGATAAGTTCAAGTCCCTGTGCTATCTCCTCTCTCTTGTTAATCCATCCTGCTCAACTTCCACTTGCTCCCAGTAAATTGTCAGAGTCCACAGGTTGTCCAGGTGATAACCTTTCTATAGTAACAGGCTGCAGTTCACAGATGACAGCTTTGGGGTGTATAACAGCTGTCTGTGTAGTGATATTTGACACAAGTATCTCTATTTCCTCTGGATGATGGTAATCATAAGTTACAAGCGTTGGTGCAATATCCAGATCAGTTGATACAGATGAAGCTACGGTAGCCTGTAGGAGGGCACATACTTTGACGGTATGGAATCCCATGACTCAACTGTCCTTTGATGCTGACTGTGTGGTTAGCCGGTATGGAAATACTTTTGTATTCTGCACATTTGACAAGTCCTAACTTTCCTCCATTCTTAGTCAACTCCCTGTCCTGGATGACCAAATTTCTAAATGTCAAATACCATGGTGTATACAAGTCACCCTTTTGAAGAAATCTTGTTCCATTAAAGCTCTTGCATTCTTCCAACAGATATAAAAGGACATTAGTTCCCAATAAGACAGGTACCCTACAGTTGTATCTAGTATCCGGGACAACTAAGAGTAAACATGATGTTTCTGTATCTTTGTCTATGCCACAACCAATAGATTTGATGTTAACTTCCACGAATCCTTTATATGGCAATGACGATCCTCCGGCGTGTTCAATATCCAACATGCAGTCTAAGGCTTGTATAGGTATATGACTGAGATGGCTTTTATAGAATGATTCCGATACAAAGGACACAGTTGCTCCGGTATCCAATAACGCTCTCACAGAAATATTTTCAACCTGTATTTCAACTTCATTTGAATGTCCAACTAATCTGTCCATTGACCGCTTTCCTGGGGTTGTGATCCTAGGCCTGATAGTCCCCTTGCCCATAGGCCTGTTCCAGTTTAAAGGTTTGCGGCGATGATCCAACCTAACTCGACAGCCATAAGCAAGGTGATTCAGGGTACTCCACATCTCCAACAGACTGGTTCCTGAGACTGAGCAGAAGACTGGTCTGTGTGTACTGTAGATGGTGAATGGGAAGTAACCTGTTGTGGTACCATAGGAGGAGCAGATGATACTCTCTACTTGGACCGGTATCTGACCAACCTTCATTTCCATGTTTATATTGACCTCTGCCTCTGTTTCTATCATATCTTTCTCTGAAGGATGTAGATGCAGGTGCCTGTTGGTTATGATGGACAAATGAGGAAGGCTGTAGCTGCTGTATCTGAGCAGTCATGTGCTTCTGTTGTTCCTTCATATCAGCAAACTCCGAGTACATCTCCTTGAACATAGACTTTATCTCAGAAAGGTCCTGACTAGATGAGTCTGTGACTGAGGCTTTAGCTGTATGAGCTGTAGCTTGTTTGACCTTTACCTTGGGTGCGTCAGCTGTGTTTCTGTTGTAGATCAAACTCCATTTCCCTGAGGCATAAACGAAGATCATCAAAGTTTTGATTGACTCATACTTGTATCCAGCCAAACTTTTAAGAGCCGGATTAAGTCCATCCCATAATCTTGTCCTCAACATTTCATCCTGTTCTACTGGTGGTATTGACTTTTGCTCTGCTAACTGATAGAGTAAACCTTCCAAGCGACAACTCCATGCTGAGACATCCTCGTTTTCTCCTTGACAAGTACTGTAAAAACTTGGACATAAGTACAGAACTCCTTCTAAGTGTCCCAAAAGCACTCTTAAGCTTCGATAATATGTCTGATGTGGTGGCCTTAGGTCCCAGTTTCATGACAGCTAGAGCTGCTTCTCCTTTAAAGGATCTTCTGATGGCTTGTAGGATTGTACCCTTGGAATAGGTCTGTGTGTCCAATAAGCAATCCACTTCATAGTGCCACAAGTCATACTCTGCGTCCTTACCAGGCTCTCCACTGAAGAAAGGTAGTTTAGGGAAGTTATGATAGGTCACTGCAGACGCTTTGGTTTCAGATTCTGGGTTTACTCCCTCGGGTTCCTTCTTAATGACAGGTGCTATGTCCCGCTGTGCTAATCCTTGAATCCAATACTTGAAATCCTCAGGTGAGTCAGATTTAGGTTTGAATCCTGCCTTCGAAAGGCCTCCACCATGTTATCGAGTTCCTCCTTGTTGAACTCCATTCTGAATGAATGCGCTGTATTCACTGAACGTGAAATGCAAACACTCTTACGAGAAACAACTGTTGAGTTTGAAGTACAAGGTATATGGCATACCAATGCGTAGTAGCAAGAAAGATGAATAACACACTACATGTACGATGTAGTGGAGAAGTAAAAGGTAAATACGTAGGTAAGTACTATATGAAAGGTAATGTGTACCTGTGGTGAAGAGCTTATAGTACTTAATAAATAATATGAGTATCAGAAGCGAAGTGTAGACTTGCAGTGATACAAAGAAGGAAAACGGTAAACGTTAAGTTCGACACGGATGAGCGGGAAGCAGAACCGTAGAGTACGACGCGAAGCAGCAGATTCAAGCACAGCGCGGGCAAACGAATAACCTGTTCAGTACCAAATGAATAAACAGCAAAGACAATCTATCAACACATCATTTAAGAAAAGCCCAAACTACAAATGCCCAATGAACTATGACATGTATACTACAAAGGAGATATTGTTAGTATCATGCTGTGTTAGTGCAGTGACATGTAAAATCTACCAATTACACTTAATTTTGTGTGGTAAGACTTGAAGTGTTTATGCCTATTTAGTTCATATTTAAAGAAAGTAGTTAAAGTCAACTCAACCACACATCAATCAATCACAATCTATGTACCTGAAACCGAGTGTTACCCAAGCTTAAGAAACAACACTGGGTTAACTGAGATAAATACACTCAGTTACATATTCTGTAGTAGTAGTACCGGTACTAATGAAATACTAATGTCATGGTAAAACCATACATATACCAGAGTCTGTTATGAATTGAAGTGATAGAAAAATTCAAACAATGCTTCCAATGTTTAAAGAAAATAAGCAAATACTTTGACAAGCTGTCAGATATATGTATTAATACAATGAAATGCCACAATGCAAGTTAGGTATACCACATATCAACACAAGGAATAACAACAAAGTGTCTTCATAAAGCCTTTATGGCTATATCGCTTCACTCAGATGGCATATTGATATTCTTATTGATGAAGGAGCTCACGAACTCTTCAGTGGTCATGTATCAATATTGTCAATGCACAAAAGGTTCAAGCATGTCAGTGGCATGAACACAGAAAGTCACAATTCACAGGAAGACTGTCATCATAGTTACGCACACACGAATATAGTCGTTATCAATGTTCTCACCCTGGATGAGGCAGAACTCAGAAATGGAACATCAGATCCATCTCTCATGCACAAGCAGTTGAATACTGTCTTCGGCTACTGGCTCTGGCGTTGCTCAGATATTCCTCACTGGGGGCTCCATTGTTGCAGCCATGAAATAGTGGTGCTCTGTAATAACCACAGGCTACGGGTTGTGAGGTCTATATCTTTATTCCGTAGAGGAAGAAGTAGTAGGAGTAGACACTCCTGTGGGTGACACGGGAGTGTGCTCAAGCACCCAGCAGCCGGGCAGCCAACACGTGCAATAATCCTTAGATCAAAACTCAATCTTTAGAACAGTCCTCATGTAGAGACAGTGTGGTGCAAAACTGATTAGTAACATGGCGGTGAGAAGTATATTTGAACTTACACCAATCAACTGAGAAGCTGAGCCTGGGCTATTGTTAAAACAAGTAAAGACAATGACATAAAAGTAGATCGACCCAGATACCCTTAAATACACAATGAACCAGCCCTGTAACACAGAACTGAACAGTTAAGGCCAAGACAAGATGCAACTGGATTGACAACATATAATATATCTATACTGTATAGAGAAGTCGTCTGTCGGATCACCTGAAATAAGAATAAAATGAAAATGATTAATTATAAATGTATGTACACAATATACAATCCCTGGATTTATCCCTGTTACAGTATTTTAATCATATTATTATTCTCTCCTTTTAGCTATGTTATTTCTAGACAGTTTAAGCTTTAAGCTTTAGAGCTTGGCCTGTCTCACTAATTGCCCAAGCCATGACGCTTCTCAGCTGATTGGTCTCATTAACTCCATGCACAATTTCACTCATTCTGCACTGACCCTTTGCCATGTAAAGACAGCTTGGACAGACACAGTGTGACATTAAGGTTAGTATTCATTTAATTAAAGTAATAATGCATTTAATCCTTGCAGTATGTATATAATAAACGTATATCTATTTTCTAACATTTAAAGAGGTATTATATTGTATAGCATGTAAGTGTGCTAAATGTATTTATGCTAGCTTTTCAAGCCAAAGCTATAAACATAAATAAGTATCACTAATATATTCTTATCTTTACTATCCCTTTCACTGAATGTGTGAGTTGAGAGAATGTGTTTTAATATAAGTTGCTATGTTTTAACTGTGATAACTATAAGTGTATATTATTTATCATCTAATATTATTTGCAGCAGATAAGTCCCAATCCATAAGTCTGGTGCTGTGCCCGATTGTTGTACACCCTTGTACCACCCACAGGGTATGTGTATATGCATAATTTATATATCCATGTATTTGTATATAGTACCATCACGTAATGCGTGGTGACGAATCATGTACTTTATCATTACGACTAATGCGTAATGGTGTATTATAATCTATCTTCTGTGTATTACATTGTATGCATGTATCATCATTACGTTATTCATAATGCTGTAATTTCATAATGCCCATATTCCATATGTGTTGTAAATAATGGTATTCATGCTTTGAGTATTATTGATAATTGTCCATATGTATTAACCCGTGTATGGAATTATATGTATCTTGTATGAATTGTGTGAGATGTATATAATATTATTATATTTATTGTTACAGGGTGTCGTTTAACATTCAGCAATGTTTCATCCTACGAAATAAACAACCTCACACCCCAGCAGAGTGTTGGTAGTCTATGGCCACGTTGACCCTGCTATATTTGAGCCCCCAGTGAGGGATTGTTTCGGGCATGGATGAACCTGGGCAGCACCTAGAGATACTCTTGGACAACTGGACTATTGTGATCTGTGTTAACGTCATCATTGGATGATGACCAGTGATATGACACTGTGACCTTGACCTTCTTGGAGAGCCTGTGACTCTTTTGTGACCTTTATGTGTATAGTGACTTGTGTTTTCATGTACATGTATTTAGATTGAGGATTATCATGGACACTTCACGTGAGTTATAGCCCTTTGTGTATTATATACCTGGCGTAATTTTCATGTAATATATATTCATTGTTTGTGTTAATTCATTGTGTAATTTAACTTTTCATCTTTTACTTAATATTCTCATGTAATTTACAGTTATGTAACTCAAGTTACGTAATTACTGCCGGCTTATATATTTAGTGTATTATCTTCATCGTTGGTACCAACACTTAGTATTTATCATGTAACTATTTTGTGTGTTTATATTTGTAGTTAACTTAGTTGTTTCAATTTAGATTAGTTTAGTTTAGTTTAGTTAGGTTTAGTTAAGGTTTAGATTTTGATTAGCATAGTGCAATGTAATACCATGTAGCATTTCAGTTTTTTTTTTTTCATAGGTATAGTTTTGGGTTTATCTTAGTTTATTTGTGTTTAGTGCAGTTAGTTGGGTTTTTTTGCTCTTTGTTTTACGTAGTGTAATGTTCATTAGTGTTCGTTACTGCATTTACATTTCAAATTCATTTCATTAGTGGTAGGTGTACATTCCCTTTAGTTCATAATGTAACTTACAGTTTGTGTGTCAGTGTGTTTGTTTGGTTAATATCATACTCTATATCCTTCCTCTTTTGCTAACAAAATAAAATGATAGCGTAATTTACTATCGGGTAGGTATAAATAAAGCTTTAGTTAAACTTGTGTTAATTTACTGACTATTTGAGGACAGACTGTACTTAGACTTTGCACCCTGCACCATTTCTTAGTCTCATTTCCCATCCCTTTACCCTTAGCTCCTTGTATTGCCCGTCTACATTATCATTGTTTTACTTCTGTGTTATAGTGTAAGTTGAATTTACATTCCCAATTCTCCATTTCACCTTAAATTTTTGGGTGTTTATTCTTTCATCAATTGTTTACATATGGAAGGCATACTTCCCTAGCGCTGCGCCATTCCTTCTACTGATTGCAATATCATTCCACAAATCATGTAACTATATTATCTTATTACACACGCCAAAGTTGCTCTACCCTTCTCCCTGAAATGCACGTTTTGATTGAAGTGGTATAAACCAGACAATCAGCGAACATTGTCAGGAAAGTGTAGAGCGACTGAAGGTTGTCCCCACTCACCTTAAGTATCCCTTGTTAAATCAATTCACTTTTAAACTCATCGCATCGTTATATTTTGTATCTCTTTGTTCTCTTAAACCATGGAGTTTAAGCAGGAAGAACTTAGTGGTATTGTTGAGTTATTCCACAAGTTGGGATTACAACCCAAGGCAGAAAAACTGGGAAGACTTAAAGATGTGGATTCAGGACATGGCAAAGCAAGAGGGACCACTCCAACCAAGCAAACTGTCTGCTCCTCCTGAGCCACTAGGCGATGAGTCACAAGTTACAGCCAAGTCACATGTCACAGCCTCAGCCACAGCCTCAGCCAATCCTCCATATCCCAAGCTACCTACGTTCAGTGGTGACTTACACGGAAAGGATGCAACCTTTGATCTATGGACTTATGAAGTGGATTGCCTTCAACAGTCGTCTGTCTACAGTGCCGCTGTACTGGAACAAGCCATCAGACATTCTTTGAAGGGGGGAGGCCGCTCGTGTTGCCATGCGCCTAGGACCAAAGGCAACTATCCAAGACCTACTGAGGACGTTACAGAGCATTTATGGGACTGTGCAGAGAAAGGAAGCCCTCATGGCTCAGTTTTATAGTGCCGCTCAGAGAGATGAAGAGGATGTTGCATTATGGGGATGCCGCTTGGAGCACTTGCTGTCAAAGGTCACGGAGCATCATGATATTCCACCACTGGAACAGGACGAAATGTTGAGGAACATGTTGTGGAGTGGACTACGGAGATCGCTCAAGTCTGTATCAGGCCACAAGTTTGATACTGTTTCTTCCTTTGACGAGCTACGGATCGCACTTAGGGAGATTGAGTATGACTTGAGGCAGGGAAGAGAACCAGCACCATCATCGCGGAAACAGTCGGCTTCAGCAAAGATGGCTACTCCATCCGAGACCATCACCAAGTCTGACCTGGACACGCTCACTACAGCCATACACCAACTACGCACTGAGGTCACTGAGATCAAGGAAAGGCAACAACAGCCAGCGCATGTGTTCCAGCATCAAGCTAGTTTCCTTCCTCAGACACAGGGATATGGACCAAGACACAAGCATAGAGGTCGAGGAAGAGGAAAAGATTATGGATGTAACCAGCCACAACTGCCTCCTCATGGGTATGGACTGCCACATAAATACAGTTCTTCAGGGGCTTATCCGTATCAAGTGCCACAAGGACCACAGGATGCCCAAGCTCAGACACAGGTTCAGGGACCTCAAGTTCAAACACCATTGCCTCAAGAGTCACAAGGTACCTTCACTCACTCAGGACCACAGGGCTACGGATATGAACAGGAGCAGCTGGCAAGTTACCCCACTCCGCCTCAAAGAAGACAGAATGATGTTGTGTGTTACAGATGTGGCTACACTGGACACATAGCAATAGGATGTCGTGTACGAGTGGATCACCTGCGACGCCCGTTAAACTGGCAAGGGCCTATGGGAAGGGGTTACCACTAGGCTCTTTACAAGGCCCCAACAGGATACCAGAAGGACTTGTAGGACATGCCAACGAAGCAGAGGTTCTCATTGATGGAAAACCAGTGCAAGCTCTTCTGGATACTGGAGCCACCGTATCAATTATATCGGAAGGATATTATCAGGATAATCTCAAGCATCTTCCTCTGGAACCACTAGGAGACATTCTGGATATTGAGTGTGCAGGAGGTGAAGCACTACCATATAAGGGATTCGTGAGAGCTGAACTCTCTTTAGTCGGTGGAGGAAACGACAATGATACCATCTCATCTCTATTCCTAGTCGTCCCCATTACAAGGTATAGTGGTCGCGTTCCAGTTCTACTAGGTACCAACATCTTGAATTGCCTCTTGGATAAATGCAAACAGAACCATGGAATCAAGTATCTACAGAAAGCTCCTCTACACAGGCCATGGTACTTAACCTTCAGAACCATTGTCATTGAGGCCAAGGAACTTGAACGGAATAAAAACAGACTAGGACTTGTCAAGAGTGCCGAAGACAAGAATATCATCATCCCTTCAAACAGTAAAGTCACCATCAAGGGGCCAGCTCAGCAAGGGACTTAGAGCTCCAAGGTATACTGCACTCCTCCATCCTACTTCACAAGCTACTATCCCATCAGAGGTTGATATAGATCCCACTATCATCACCTATGACAGAGACAACCCCAACTCCATTGACGTTCATGTGTTCAACATCACTACGAGGAACATTGTTGTTGCACCGAGAGCCATCTTATGTGAGCTTCAGCCAGTCACTCTACAGGACCCACCCACTGGTAGACCCATGGATAATCAGTCACTGTTGGACCGGATTGAGATCGAGGAGAAGGACTTAACGCCAGAACAAAGGGAGCAGGGACTTGATGTCATAATGAAGTTCAAGGACATATTTTCCAAGCATGATGAGGACTTAGGACATTCCACAGCTGTCAGGCACAGGATTGAACTAAATGATGAGCAACCCTTCAAGCAGCGCTACAGACATATTCCTCCAGGCATGTTTGAAGAAGTTAGATCTCATCTTCATCAACTCTTGTCAGCTGGAGTTATTCGGAACTCCCACAGTCCCTGGGCATCCAACATTGTACTGGCACGAAAGAAAGACGGAAAACTACGCGTATGCATTGATTTTCGCGACTTGAATCAGAGGACTATTAAGGACGCATATGCCATTCAAAGGATAGAAGATCTGCTAGAATGTCTTGAGGAAATCGCTACTTTTCTGTGTTGGATATGAAGTCCGGATACCATCAGGTCGAAATTGAGGAAAGCCACAAAGAACGGACTGCCTTCACTGTAGGACCTCTTGGATTCTATGAATTCAACAGAATGCCTTTTGGACTATCCAACGCACCAGCCACATATCAACGACTAATGGAACAGTGCCTGGAAGGACTCGATCTCAACATCTGTCTAATATACCTTGACAACGTGATCATTTTCTCTAAGACCCACGAGGAGCATGTCAAGCGTTTGCAACTTGTTCTCCAAACACTGATGGATTGTGGATTGAAATTGGCACCCAAGAAATGCAAGTTTTTCCAACGTCGAGTCAAGTATGTCGGCTACATTGTATCAGAAAACGGCATAGAAGCAGATCCGGACAAAATTGAGAAGATTGCTAACTGGCCACCTCCATCTAATCCAGAAGAAGTAAGGCGATTCCTGGGATTTGCCGGTTATTACCGCAAGTTTGTTAAGGATTTCTCGAAGATTGCCAGGCCTCTATCTCAGCTCATGCCCAAGGATAAGAAATCAAGAAGCGTTCCCCAAGCACGAAGGAATGGCAATTGGGAGACAGAACAAGAGAGATCATTCCAGGAACTCAAGACACGACTTACTAACCCTCCCATTCTCGGATATGCTGATCACTCAAGACCCTTTGAACTGCACACAGATGCAAGTGGACACGGCTTAGGAGCAGTTCTGTATCAGCACCAAGACGGACATCCACGTGTCATCGCATATGCCAGTAGAGGATTACGACCATCAGAACGGAACTATTCTGCTCACAAGTTGGAGTTTCTGTGTTTAAAGTGGGCGATAACGGAGAAATTCCATGATTACCTCTACGGACACAGCTTCACAGTGATGACAGACAATAATCCATTGACATATGTACTTACCACAGCC